CACAAAGGGCAGAAATACATAGGAATGATCGATTAATATATATTCATAAATGTCAGACGAAAGCTAATACTTTCCATGTACGATCGTCATAGCTAGAATCATAATCATAACCAGGTCTCATCGTATGTATCTCAGAACAAGTCAACCTGGCACTTGCGCGTCAACGGAATATCCGTAGTAAACACAAGCTTCTTGTTCTTAGCATCATACTCAGCATGCTCCGTACCATGAGGCTTAGACTTAACGCCCAACACAGTAATAGTCTCAATGCCAACACCAGCATCATACTCAAAAGTTCCATCAAAGCTCAGCTTGCCCTTGCTGTACTTGAAGTCGATCTCAGAAGCCGTGTCCTGAACAACAGACTCGCCATCATCAAGATACAGAGAACCTTCGGCCTTTCCGTCGAGACCAGGGGCGATAACGAGGTTGAAACCCTTTTGGCGGAGAGCCTTAGTTGTGTTGGCGCTCTCGACGCGCTGGGGGTAGATGAGACCGCCCTTGTAGTGGACCATGATATCGGTGACGTCGACTTCGGCGGACTCGTATTGAGCCTTGCCTCGGACGGGCTTGCCTGTGGACCACTCGTAGAAGATATCGTCAGGGAGGTAGTACTCGAGCTTGGTGCTGTTCTCCTTGGTGACGGGACTGACGAGGATACCATCTCCGTAGAAGAACTGGAGGTCGATGGAGTAGGTGTTCTTGTCCTTGGGGTAGTTGAAGAACATGGGGTTGAGAGTGGGAGAGCCGGTCTGGTTCTGCTTGTAGATGGCAGTGTAGATGTAGTCAACTGTTTCTGTTAGCGATGCTCAGATCAAGGGAGAATGAGTGTGACTTACGGAGCTGATATCGGATGGAGATACCGTTGCGAGCAGCCTCGGTAACCTTGGGCCAACGGTAGAATTCCTGAGACTGAGAAGTAATATCGGCATGATTACGGAAGAAAGTGTAGAAACTACCAAGGGTAGCCCATCGTGCACAAAGGGTCTCAGTGACGTTACCACCAAAACCGCAAACATCAGCACCGACAACGGGGATCTGGTAGATAGAAGCGAACTGCAGGATCTGAGAGATGGAGAAGCGGTACTGATCCCACTGAGAAAGGTTATCGCCAAGCCAGTGCGAAACATCCTTGCCAGAACCAGCAAAGGTACTTCGAGTAATAACGAGAGCACGCTTATCAGGGCGTCGCGAGCGCATAGCGTTGTGAGAGTGAGAAGACATCTGAGCACCATACAAGTTATGCGTATCATACTGAACGTAATCTCCGCTCTGAACGAGATCAGTGTCGGTGGTACTGTCTGCCAGTGTAGGGCCAGCGCCGTTCTGGATCATGTAAGGAGGCTGGATGAGCTCTCGGTTAGGAAGACCCTTGCACTCGTCGGGACCGCAGCCAGAGCCAGTCTTCTTGCCGTTTTGCCAGCCGTGGCCGGGACGGCCGTACTTGTTCTGGCCCCAGACCTTGCGGGTAGCCGCCCAGCGACCAACGCCGCGTTCGCGAGGAGTAGCGCGGACTTCGACGGAGCGCTTAGTGGTCTTGGCGACGGCAGTGACTTCGCGCTTGGTGGAGCGGTCAGAGGGTGGTTGGAGACTCTCGGGGAAACCAGGGATACGAGCAGGAGGGCCGTCTCGAACAGGAGGAGCCTTGGGAGGGTCACCATCAACCTTGGCGAAGTTCTCGGGAGTGGTGTTGTTGCCGGGATAAGGACGGTTGAAGAAGTTGGCCGGCTCGTTCATATCGATCCAGAGAGCATCGATGTTAGGACCATGCTCGCCGTCGAAGAAGTTCTGGAAGAGTTCGTTCCAGTACTGCTGAGAATTGGGGTTGAACCAATCGGGGAAGACACTAGGTCCAGCCCAGACGACACCTCTGTAGTCTGAACCATTAGGCTCCTTCATGAAGGTATCGTACTTAAGACCGTTGGTGAGAGCTGGGTTGGGCTCCATGTCGTACACAGCGGGATCAACCATGACGATGTAGTGCTGATCACGAGCGTGGATCGTGTCAACAAGATCCTTGTACTTATCAGCAGGGAATCGCTCAGGGTCGATGGTAAAGATACGACGACGGTCCATGTAGTCGATATCAGTCCACATAGTCTCGAGCGGGATCTTAGCAGCTGAGTAATTGGCCACGACGCCAGCGACTTCGTAGACATCGCGGTATCCATATCTGCACTGATGGAAACCAAGACCCCAGTAGGGCGTCATGAGAGGAAGGGTGGTGATCTCAGCATACTGCTTGGCGACATCGCGGGGAGTAGGACCAGCGATGAAGTAGAAGTCGAGAACACCGCCAATGATGTTGTACTCTAGGAATTGCTTGCCGTCCTTCTTGTCGATGAAGACATCCATGCCGTTGGAGTTGAGAAGGAAGACACCGTGCGTGCCGCCCTTGCGGTGGTCAAAGTAGATGGGGTGAGCTCCATACAGGTTCTGGCCGTTGGGGCAACTGAGCCACGTTAGCAATTGCATATAATTGATGAGAAGATTTAAGTGGCTTACCCATAAGCATCGCGAGTGTAGATCGTGCGGGTGTAGTTGGTGGCATTGAGCATGAAAGGATCACTATGCTCACCAAGGCCATAAAGATAGGGTCTCTCAGGAAGCTTCGTCTTGAGGTACAGGTACTGACTCTCAAAAACGAGCTTGCTGCCCGAAGTGTCAAAAAGCACTTCCCCAGAATCCTTCCTCGTCACGGTGAACGAAAAAGGATCCGCCTTAAAGTCAAACTTGAGCTTCGAGTTCTTGGGCGAAGCCCACTGCCCATAGCCAGGACGAGGGAAGATATCATCAGGGACTTGATAAACGGTGTTATTCGTATCCAAGATCTTGACGTGCAGACGATCCTCAGTTTGATACTCAACCTCAAGCTTCAGCTCGGGGAGATCAACACCAAAGACGTCGCAGGCCTGTCCCGCAAGAGACAAGTCAGCGTAGAAACCGGATTTGGTCTCTCGGTGGTTGGTAGCTTTGTAGCCGGGACACTTGGAGAGATCCTTCTCGAAGAGGTCTCTGCGGGGTTTGTCAAGGTCCTCAACGCCAGCCTTGCTCTGCGCGAACGCTGTGCCAAAGGCGACGGCCGAAGTGAGCAGCGTCTTGAAGATCATGGTTGAGAAGAGAAGAGCTGGTTGCTGAGCCAGAAGAAAAGGCTTCAAGCCATGTTGCTGTGGTATATATACTGATTCGTTCTTGGCGCTGTGAGTCTCAATCGTCTCGTCATGATGCATGCGACCTTGCAGGGGAGCGGAGTCTCCGCCGCTCAGGAACAGAGCGAGGGAGACTCCGTAGAGAAAACCCGCTGTAACGGTCATCATTGCCGTCAAACCCTTGGAGAAAGAAGTCAAGCTTGAGCAAGGTTATCGCCGAGAAAAGAGCCGGGACCAGGTTTTTCGTTGCGTGATGCTGTGCAAGGATACTTTGATCTTCGAGGGAGGAGGCTCCATTTTGCGGGGTTGGGTTTTCCCCAGCTTTTTTTTTGTTTTTCACAAAAGGTGGGTGGTGACAGAGTTATGATGGTAAAATTATTCGGCTGGACGAGTTAACGGTCGAGCATGGGATTGGTCGAATGTCGGGCCGAACATTATGCATAATTGAAGAAGTTCGTGAGAGCATTGTCGAATGAATTGGAGTGGGAGACGGAGCGTGGTTGTTTTGGGTAATGATCGTGGGTTGGTTTGATGAGCTTCAGAGGTGAGTGTGCTGCGACGAGAAGTGAGATGTGCTGTTTTCTGATGATGATCCGAGATTAACGCGACATAGCATACACCAGGTGGCAGGCTGTTAGTGAGTTATCCTTGTCATCCGAGGGTACAAGCAGCCATTGCATCACCACTCCCTCTTGTTCCCATCCATTGGGCCGACTTCGGTCTGTGACTCGGTGGCACTCGAATTAGCTGCTGGAGACCATGTTCTTTTAGTGCTAAACCCCAGGACCAAGCCATGATTCCCATGGGGAAGTTGAATAAGCGCATGGGGAAATTCCCGACAATCCTTGCTTGCCCAAAATCACCACTGACACTTCCCTCCATTCTACACAGACAGTTTGGCGGGCTATTTTGTCACTGCATGTCGCCAAGTCGTAGCCATCTCGGTCAATTATGTCAATCATGACAAACCCTGCAGTTCATCTGATGATCGGAATAGCACGACTGTGGATAGCTTCACGGCGGAACCTTTGCCCTTGCTCCTGTCGCTAGCAAAATTGAGTAATAATGGGACGACTACGTCCGTACCGAAGCGAAGTACAGCTTGTGAGAGGGACAAGGCGATTGGAAGCCTCGGCTACGGAATGTCCGGATAGAGGCGGGCTTGAGGTGCAGGGTAAGGATCAACTTTTTGCATGTCGGTCTTGTTCTCTTGTTGGATCATCTACACTGGAATATGCTTATTCTTTATGTGGATTAATTTGATGGCAATTATCGTTATACGATGTCGGTTTAATTAAGCTCTGTGAACCGATGAGTCGGTGGCGGTTGAGTTCGACCCTGAATCACGCTTAGTCTCTTCGCGCGACGGCCCGGCAAGTGAGTGACCTCGTTTGAAGAGAGAAAATTAGGTGTCGATTGACTAGCTATTACAATAGCACTTCTCACACTGAAATGTATATAGACGATTTTTCAAAATCGTGGATTAAAGACTCACAGGTGAAGTCTTCTCAAATAATGGCAGTTTGATAAGACTATTTATTGCTGGATTATGTACTCTCGAGCGCGTTATTCACCACTGACAATGGCTTCATCTCATGCTTCATATCACAGTACGAGTGCCGGAGTAAACTAATTCCGACATTACATTACACCTTCACAAGTTGAACATCGCTCATGGATTGTGTTTCCAGGCATCAGCGTTTTGGAGATAAAGATACGCTATCAATCTCGTGAGGTCGCAGGCAGCAATGAAACCCAACAATCCATCGTGTCGCGTTGACCCACTTTGCTTACGCTCACCGATGGTCGAACCTCAGACATTTCAATGAAATGCCAAAAACAACAAAAGAAATGGCACAAGCAACCCAAAATACCATCACAAAATTTGAGTTAGTCGGGAATTCGGGCAGCTCATATCCTTTGATCATCTTTTTCCATGGCTCAGGCGACTCCTGCGAGTCTTGGGCCGCGCTAGCAGAACTCCTCAGTCCTGCGTACCAGCTTCTGCTCTGGGATAGAGAGGATCCATACGTCAGAACCGACATAGCTATCTCGGAACTGTTGGATTTTCTTGATAGTAGTGATACGCCCAAGCAATATGTACTGATCGCGCATTCATACGGCGGCACCTTCGCCCGGCTCTTCCTCGAAGCGAGACCGCACCAAGTAGCGGGAATAGTCCTCGCCGAAACAGGCGCTGAGCCAACGATAGACGCCCAACTCGAACAAAGACAATACGATAAGAAGATCCTGGGGAACAAGCCACTCGTCGTGATTCGAGGCAATACTCTGAAATGGAAACAGCTACAGTATGATCAAGCCATCGCTGCAGAACAGAACCTCGCCAGCCCAACCCTGCTGATGCAGAAGAAGCTCTTGGACGCGACAGACAAGGAGGATGAGAGGTTGAAGAAAGCTCAGCTGCAACTCTCCAGGAATAATCGATATGTGCATATCCCGGATGTCAGTCACGATGTGATTATTGAGAAGCCGGAAGCTGTGAGGGAGGCTGTTTGTTGGGTCATGGAGCATTTGCAGACTGCCGAGGAAGAGGTGCGACAGGAAGAGATACCAGTGCCTGCGACGGAAGAAGGCGAGACTGTTGTCAAGAAGAGCTTTGGGGATAGGTTGAGAGGAGCGAAGAAGATGTCTTTGAGGGGAAGTCTGTTCAAATTGTTCAAGAAGTCTGATAAGTGAGAGATGATATGATGTTATTGCTGGCCAATAATTAGAGATCGAAGGGAAGTGTAGCTAGATACAGATCGTGTAGGGACGAAGCAAAGAGAGAAAGTAGATGAGCGAGAAATATGCCTTGATACCTTGCCTAGGGGAGGAAAGAAAACTTAGGTTTTTGACCCTAAGTGATAAAAATATTTAAGTAAAGCTAGCCTAAGCTTAGGTAACTCTTTGCTAAGTTTATTTTGATACCCTTTATCAAGGTTCGGTGATTTCTTGCCCCCTGAGGCTTGCCATGCAAAACACGTACGGAGACCACCCAGTGCCGTCTCAGACCTTGATAAACCGGAACCCAGTTGCGTCGCTCTCAACAGCACCATCGTTGATCAGTGTCCCATCACTACCGACTCTCACATACTTCCCATTACTAGCTGCTTTGATAGAATAAACACCTTGACTCTCACCTACTTTCTGACGAATGGTGAACCGCTCCCAGGCATCAGCAATCGCGCGAGCTGCCGACAGCGAATAGGTGCCAGACTGATCCGCCGTCACATACTGCTTGTTGCTAGTGAGCTGTAAGGTCCCAGCATTGGGTACATAGGCACTAGAGAAGACGCTCGCGCTATTGCTTGAATTGCTTGATGCAGAGAGTTGGCCTCCGTTGGCTGCGGATACGATGTATTTGCCTGATGTGGCTTGGATCTTGTAGTCTCCGTAGGGGTTCTGTGGGAGGGAACCGCAGATAGGCTGGCCGTTTGGATTGGGGCGCGTGCTGATGAAGTAGAGTTCGTTCGTGTATGTGTTTCCGGAGCCTGTGAATAAGCCGTGTCAGTCGATCGAGTTAGAGTCATCGAATGTCATCTAAACGTACCCCAGTCGCTCAAGTTGGCGCTCCATGCCGCAGCCTCTTGCGGGTTGGCGTTGGAATAGGCGGCATATATGACCGATTTCCTGCATCGTTAGCTGGCTAAAACAAAATTAAGTATCGAAACACGCACCATGAGTCGGCGTATGAGGCATTTGCTAATTCCGGCATTGTGTAGGAGAAGACGTTGCTAACCCACTCAGTGTCGTACATGACCTGTTATTTCGATAAGCCACCACCATCAGACTCGGCCAAAGCACTCTTACCTCGTTGACAGGCGTAACAGGCAGAATCTGAATCGCAGCAATCTGCACCTTCTCAGCGCCCCAGAACAGCCACGCCCCCGTCTGCCAGTCCATCACGTTGCCGACAGTAATCAGATCCCTGAACTCGGCCTCGGGATAAGGGTTCATGGCGTCATCTTTACCAGCGCTCGGGTCCAGGTGCCAGTATGTCTTAGCGGCCTGCTGTTCAATGGCAAGCAGGAGTCTAGCAAAGTTGGCGTGTTCTGGGCTAAGTGCTACGGTGGCCCAGAGCATGGCGCCGTAGTAACCGTTGACTGCCTCGCCGACGGATTCTTGATCACGGCTACCAGCCCCGTTGGCGATGCCGGATGCCCATGAGTGACCGGCGAACCAATCTAGACAGCGTGTGATGGGGAAGAAGGGATCGTCCAACGAAGGGTTTATAATGTCTCTGTTGGGCATTGATCAGCACCAGTCTTGACAGGATCATAGGCAGGAACAAGTGGACTAACCTAGCAAAAAAGGTCACATATTCTCTGTGCTGAGCTAACCAGTCCGAATCGTACTTGGAGATCACTGCAGCGATGTGAAGAAAGTAACCGTAGTGAAAGTGATGATCGTTGAAGTACCCATTGCCAAAATCGACCCAGGCATTTGTGGCGCCTTCTTTGTTAATAACACCGCCCCAAGTTGTCTCGTAAGCAGGGAGAGCCTTGTTGGTGGCGCTAAACCAGTTGTCGAAAGAGGCTTTGAGGTATTTGATAACAGGGTCGATGAGATCCTTGCTTCCAACATGGTCACCGCATATAAGTCAGTCTAAATTTAACACGGACGTGATCGCCGAGGTACGTACGCGATCAGTGCTAGACGGGATTTAGCAGCGAGAGTTCCGCCCCAGTAGTAGAACTCGTTTGGCGCAGGAGCCTTGGAGGGATCAAGTTGGTTGACTTCGTACTTGAGACCGTTTACAACTGATTCCTTACAGGAAGGGTCCACGTCGCGTGGGGCGTTCCAAGTTATCGAGGTCAACTTGTATGTCAATCTCCAAGTGTTTCCAAGCGTTGGGTACATCCATCCCTAAAATAATCAGTCATCATGCAAAGTTACAGAGGGGTAAGGGCCACCTACCTTCAAGGTCAAATAGCTTAGAGTGGATGGTCCGGGAGAGTTAGGGTTCTGTAATACTTCGCGGTGATGCGGCCAGGTGAGCATTAGTAAATCTCCAGTACCCTTTGTCTTCCACTTGAATATCACTGTGCCTGAATCACCACTAATAGAATAGTCTTGAGACAGGGAGATAGGGTACACCTTTGAATGGGCATCCAGGAGTTTCTGATGGTTGGGATCCCTGAGCATCACCATCCGCAAGATACCGGAGAACTTGCCATCTGCAGATAGGGTTCCTTTGTTATTGTTCTCGGCTTTGGCGGTAAGCTTGATGGATCTGTCCGAATATATTAGGTACGTGGTGCCCTTTGTGTCGATGATGGTAAACTTAGTGCCTCGATGTCTCACTAAAGGTTTGTTTGTCTCAGTCAGTATAAGTTCATAATGTTTCTTTGGCATTTGATTCACGCACCGGTATTACCGCCGCTCAGAGCTTTACCGTTGAGCGACTTGATACCCCCGTTCAACGTTGCCAACAGTGGAGTTGCAGACTTGTATTGGAAGGTCATGTATGGTGACCCTGGTACAAGATATGCCTTCATAGATGAATTGCCCTGGAAGTACTGAATTGTAACAGTCTGAGTGTCAAATGCCGTTGCCTTGTGATCGTCGAAGTCACCGCTATGTTCACTGAATGAAGCCCGGTAGTCTAGCTGAGTCGGCACCTTGACGGAAGTCCCGTCAAATTGGCGATCTTGGCCAATACCAAAGCAAATGCCGTATCCATCTAGCGACGATTCGTATGGAAACGGACCCGCTGCCGTGCCCTTCCCGGGAGGAGCAGCATATGGAGCCCACCAGCCATTGGTTGGATACTTGTTGGGTCAGCATACCAGTGTTAGTCGCAAAGCATAGATAGATAGACTCACAGGCCCTTTAAGATCTTTAAAGAAAGAACTCAGAGGGGGAGCATCGGTTTGAACAGTCCCTCCTGTCAAGATGTTGGGGTTACTGGTGCCAATAGGACCAAGTGAAGCACGATTGGCCTGCTTGACGGTCCCAGCCAGTGACTGGGATACTAGCAGCAAAAGAGGCAGTAAATCTTTCATCTGGTTGTGAATTTTATGATGCGAGACAATGCTTTGTTGAGATTCTTTGTTCTATTTCTTCATTCTCCTGACACAAGCACTTTATATAATTGTTTGCTAGACCACATTCTTCTGCCTCTCCACAGTGGATTACGGAAGTCTTGATTCAGGGTGAGACATCTTCCCTCACTCCATACGATCCGCTATCTGCCCTACTGCAAGGTTATAGCATTCCTCAGCAGAGCTGGGTAGTGAAAATGTCCTGACTTCAAGACATGACCATGCCAAATGAGACAGCCAGATGTAACCTTGATACTCTCACAACAGGGCCATGAGTAATTGAGTTGATATAGAGAAATGGAAGGAATGAGAATCGCAACCGAATACAACATTGTTATCATTGACTATCTAGTTTCTGTGGCTATCCGGATACAGTTGCCGGAGGATGAAGTTTAAGGTTTGATTTAAGGGACATCATAACCTGCTGACGGACCTCGAGAGGTGCATATTTAATTCATTCGGTATAACTACAACACCATGAGCCCGCCAGCGCCGATGTAGTCGGGCCGCTGGCTCGCAAAACGCAGCAGCATTTCGCTCCATTCGGCCATTTCCTAAGTTGCATTTAATAAGAACCTGGGGATGCAGCCTGACTCGTGTGGGGTCCCCGGAAATGCCTGCCAACCATGGAGGTCGGAGCGTATAGCGCGGCATGCACTACGTTATTGTAACTACCAGGTCATAGATCATATGTCACTACTAGAAATTTAACAGATTGGAGAAACGGAAGGCCCAGGGGTCTATGCAGATTGACGAAAGTGGCAGGTCTCCTATCCTCCGCCATGGATGAGCACTTACTCTAAATCAACTCGTCTCATTCTCTTACAATCTAAAAAAGAAAAGAGGATCTCTCCAGCTCATGTCTCTTAGATACATAACTTAGATATCACTGATCAAAAGAATTATAGTGCGTATACATTTCTCTACCTTCGCTTCTTTCATCCCATGTAAACAAGTCAAGTGTTGAGATCAGTTCCCAGCTCCGGCTATAGCTCGTAACGATAGATCGAGTTTGTCTGGCCATCAGGAAGTTTTTCGACTGCAATACACGATAGTCGGCCCTACTATGACATACCCGGCCTAGGGGAGGAAGTAAAACTTAGGACCTTGAACCTAACTAATAAAAAGACTTAGGTAACTTAGTATAAATTTAGGGTGAGTTTAGGATACCTTTTATACAGTTTATTTTGTCACCCTAAAGCTAGGTCTTGTGTTTTCTTGCTCCCAGAGGCCGGCGATGCTAAGGGAGGGCTACCATGGCACGGATATAAAGATGGGTGATGCTTTAGTGTAGATTACCTGCTACCCTTCGTGATCAGGCCAGCAGGCTAGATGTAATGCTGGAAAGCCTTTAGAGTTACACACGATGGCTTAGCTCAATCAAGTTCTGAATGACATGTGTCAAGTTGGAATTCAAGCCTCAAGACGATATATTCGGGATAAGCTCCGGTTCGCGTAATTGATGGAAATGAACGACCTTTCTGTGGCGCTGTTTGTCGACATCCTGCTGGAGAAGTTCCAAGGACATATACTATGCTGCCAGGAGACCACGAATAAAATTGAGATATAAAAATAATTAATATAAGAATATCTGAATGAACTGCCTCTTAGAAACGTGGTATAAAGTGCCGGGGCTTACAACATCGGCGCGGGCTGACAATCGGCTTTGCGGATGACTTTTCACACAGAAATCCGATGACGCGTGGCTCGGGCTTACGCTCAATCAGCGCGACGCATCCTTCCACTCCACTTCATCCATGTGAGATCTTACAAACAAGCTTAAATGGTTGTACAATGGCCTTAACGGATGGCTTCTCATTGGGTAATATGATTAACATCCCGATGATCGACATTACGAGGCTGTGATACACTGGATCTGCAGCCACTTTCGCTATGGTGAAGATGATGAATGCTGCGTTGCCGGAAGCAAAGGCCCGCTTTGCCTGTAAATCTTTATGCTGGATGATCGAGATTACCAATTAACATACATGTTAGGCAATGTGAGTATAAATACCCGAGGATCCTCAAGCTTGGAGACTTCTGCAAGCTAGAAGACCATAAGCTTGACAATACAGTACTATGAAACTTATACCTTTGAGCATTCTCGCTGGTTTGGCGACTGCGCTCCCAACCCATCACCCAGATCGATATGAGTTCATCATCATCGGATCAGGGCCGGGCGGAGGGACTCTGGCGTGAGTTTGAACTCTCTGATGCAAACCGTTGCTGACAATCACCTAGTGCGAATCTCGCCCGAGCTGGCCACTCAGTCTTCTTGATAGAGGCTGGCGGTGACCAAGGCAACACGCCACTGCAGCGAATTCCTGCCATGTAAGTGCGCCAATATATTATCAGCGATGAAATTGCTCACAATCTCCAGGGCGGATCAAGTCGCCGAGCATCCCACCATGTCGTGGTCCTTCTACGTAAATCATTACCAAAACGAGACTCAAGCACAAAGAGATTCCAAATATGCATACAGACTATCCAACGGCACCTTATGGTCTGGCCTCGATCCTCCTGAGGGTGCCGAGCCGTAAGGTGTTCCCTTGCCTTTTGACTGGAGATACTTTCTAACATGATAGACTCGGCATATTGTATCCTCGAGGCGCGACGCTTGGTGGTTCTGCTCAGCTGAATGCTATGAACTTTGCACTGCCTCCAGATAAAGATTGGGATGCTATCGCTGAACTAACCGGCGACGAGTCCTGGAGGTCTGATAAGATGAGAGAGCTGTTCATCGATATTGAGAACTGCACTTATGCTCCAGAGGGCACTGCTGGCCACGGCTTTGACGGGTTCATTCAGGTACGTACTTAGTTGTAGGGGCTATGATTTACTGACAAGCCCTGAAGAGCAACCGCAACAACATATCATACATCGCTGATCGTCCTGGTGTCGTACAATCTCTGAAGCGCGCTTTTGAGCAAACGGAAGGCATTCAAGTCAACGATGCCGCTGAAGTTGGCAGGCTCATGCAAAGAGACATCAACAGATTGGATAAGGATCGATATTCGCCTGGCATATACCAAATCCCCCTCCATGTGGACAGTCTTCGACAGCGAAATGGCGCCTGGCGATATCTACACGAGACAATGACGTCTAGAACAGCAAATGGCTCTGCTCGGTATCCTTTGACTGTCAGCACTCATTCTCTGGCTACCCGCGTCCTCTTCAAGGATGGTCGGAATGGTAAGCCTCAGGCGTATGGAGTCGAGTATCTTGAGGGCGAAGGGCTCTACTCTGCTGATAAGCGCTACGACGAGTCGGAGTCTGGTCGACTGATCAACGTGACTGCGTCAAGAGAAGTCATCGTCGCGGGTGGTGCTTTCAACACGCCCCAGATACTTAAGCTTAGTGGTATTGGTCCTCGGGAAGAACTCGAGAGTCTTGACATTCCTGTCGTCGTTGACCTTCCCGCTGTGGTGAGCCTCTTACCTAAGATGCCAGATTACAACTGACAAGGACAGGGCAAATATCTACAAGACAACTACGAAGGTGGCGTAACCGTCGAAGCTTCGGTACCATGGGAGAACAATCCCTTTGCGAACTGTCCCTTCACACTCCAAGCCAACGATACATGCTATCAAGAATGGAACCAGTCTCATACCGGTGCTTACGGCGAAGGCGCAGCACCGATTTCACTGCTCTACAGATCCAGCGTTAGCGAAACAAATGACACAGACCTATACCTCTTCGGAGCAGCTGGTACAGTATTTCGCGGATATTTCCCAGGCTACTCAACATGGCAAGCCCCTCCAACATCCTGGTTTTGGTCCATCGTCAAAATGCAGCCAGGCAACCAAGCCGGAACGATCACTCTCCGCTCAAAAGACCCCCGACAAGCACCAGAGATCAACTTCAACTACTTCGCTGAGAAGGGAGAACGTGATCTTCAGGCTATACAGGAAGGTGTCGAGCATACCATGCGTATCTTCAACGCTACTGGTGAACCTTATGCTCCATTCAAGGTTGCTGAGCCTCGACCTGGCGTGAGTATTCGACAGGGTATCATTGATGATGCGTTTAGTCACCATGCCACCTCTTCTTGTCGCATGGGACCGGCAGGGGATAGGAACTACTGTGTTGATTCCGAGTTCAAGGTCAATGGCGCTAATGGACTTCGGGTTGTGGATGCCTCGGTCTTCCCACGTACTCCGGGAGGATTTCCTGCTGCGCCGACATTTATGATCAGTCAGAAGGCCTTTGGGGTGATCCTTAGGAGTACCAGGGGATAGTATGAGGTCGAGTGAGTGAGCAGTGAGTGCCTGGATCAGATAAACATATACACGTGGAGACACGTGTGTTTTTCAAGGGCTAGTGCGAGGGGAACCTCTATCATGTACTATATATCTATGGAGCCCATGGTCAAATGCTTCCCATAGTGCAGTTATCACTCATCCAATTAATATTTCTTGAATAGCTTCTGGTACTTCGAAAGTGTCTTCTTGTCTCCCTTCCAAACACTCTTCGCACCGTCCACTGCATCGATGTGCTCGCCGATGTAGGTAGCGACCATGCCATTCCCATGAGCCGACTTATCAATGAACACATGCTCATCCGGTTCAACGACGTTTACATAGTATGGATGGGAGAGCATATCGATCAAGACATCAGATGACTCATAAAGGAACATGGCAATCCCGTCAAAGTCCACTAGCTGATTGGATACTGGCTCTGTGGCACCGGCATCGGTAGGGACGATCTTTCCAGCGACTCGAACCTAAAAGAAAGAAACTAGGTGTCAGTACAATCAAGTTTGACAGGAAATATGAACCAAGAGCGTATTGATGACCTACCTGTTGGTAACGAGCGATGCCGAAGTGCGTCGCCAGAGGAATCACTTTAGGTGCGTGCTGGGTATCCCAGTACTGCCAGAACTCGTCAAGCGTCATATTGGGGTTGCGCTTGACGTAGGTAACCATCTGGAGCAGCCCAGTGTTTGAATGAGGACCTTTCGGTGAAGCATACACATTGCCGGCAAAGGCTGTGGCAATAAGCAAAAGAGAAGCGAGTTGGTTCATTTTGGGTATGATGATTGAGTGAGAGGATGAAACTGAAGGATACTGCCACGAGACACTTCTACGGGTATTGGGGATACTTATTGACGAAGAGGAACACAGTGGCGAGTCATGAGAATGTGATGAGATAGTCGGGCTGCATTAGATCTGCCTGGACCTTGACGTCTTGTGTCAGATTCCTACGACCAACAAGATCTGGAAGCAGATGTCGACATGGTTGTCAGCAAGGATGCTCAGCTCAAGCTCACCCCTGCAGAATCCAGAATCTCCAGTCCCTTCCGAGCCCTCAGGGAGCAAGAAAACACGAGACCTAAGTTTAGGGGGGCAAAATAAACTCCACAAAAGGTATCCTAAACTTATACTAAGTTACCTAAATGTTTTTATCAGTTAGGCTTAAGGCCCTGAGTTTTATTTTCTCCCCTAGACAGACTTCTATTGACCTTTCGAAGCGTCAAAGAAGCCGCTTACAACTGGTTGAGTTAGCCCACGGCCCAGCCGCAATGATCCAATCCGCTGAAGACTTCTCTTCCGCATTCCTACATCCAACAGTCAGTCAATAGAGATTAATCATAACGGAATGAACGAACCGTAAATTCTACGAGATCCATCAGTTGGCTCAAACGGATCTGGCCCGATCCCCTTGCCAAGACATGGCTGACACGACCCGCCAATGGGAGAGGCCATGGACTCCTATTGACACCCATTTTGGGACATATCACCTGGACAAACACTTGAGACATGAGTGATAAGACTTGCACTAGATCAATTATTACCAACGTCCTTGAAGATCTCCGACAGTAGCGGTACGTACATCGCATGTTTCTGGGTGAAGCCCCGAGTCCCTCAGCGATGCGTCTCCCCGCTGCAGCTTGAAGCTCGAGGTGACGGCACAACGACCAAGGCAGCAAGGCAACCAAGTCCCGTTGGTTGGTTTCCTCTACTATATTCAGTTAAAACTGTTTGTCCATAGTGGAGTTCCCATCCACTAGCTCAGCAAACTCCCAAGGTGAGGATTTCGGACTTTATCTGAATAGCAATGAACCAACACAAAACGCACTGTTCAAATCAACCATCCCTACATATAATACCAAGACAATTCTTTCCCGTAGAAATGAATGCATCATATCTGACATGTCTTCTTATCCAGTTACCAACGGTGTGATCACGTTTCTGCCGCCGCCGGAAGGATACGTCGTTGACTTTGACAATCCTCAACAGCAAGATGCACTCGAACATTTTCTCATCTTCGGCATCCTCGGGTCTCTAGCCATTCTTTGTTTGTTGCAGAGATTATATGTCAAGTATTACATAACGCGGGGGTTGAAGATTGACGATGGTATGTGATAGCTCAAATTGAGGGAACTGTAGCTAACGTGGCGGCTTAGTCTTAATCACACTGGCATGGGTATGACATCAAGCGAGGGAGCGTAATTCATGTGAGGCTGACATTGTGACTTAAAGATCTTCTCTATCGTCATGCAGTCGGCCCAGATATGTGAGTACACTCCGTCGTTGGCTTGGGCCTCTGCTAATATCTCAAGGGTCAATATCAATCGGAGGCCTATGCCATCATGCATGGGAAATGCCCATTGACGTCTTCGAAAAGCACATGCTGGTATGATCTCCACGTCAACGTCACGGCCATCCGCTTACCCCTCATAGAGCTCTTACATCGCCGCTCCAGCCTTCATCATCTGCAACGGTCTCACAAAAAGCTCGCTCCTGACTTTCTACCTCCAAGTATCACCGCAGAGATGGTTCAGAAGAGCGATTTTTGCGACCATCGCCTTTGTTGTTCTATACACCATCATCATTGCCAGTCTACTGCTCTTCGGATGCCAACCGAGAGAGACAGCATGGGACCCTTACTTGTTCGCTAGCGGAAAGTGCATTGACTATGCTGTGATGTACATCATCATCGCCGTTGCCAATATCATCTCAGATATAGTTCTCTTCGCCATTCCTATGCCGATGATTGTCCGGTTGAAGATGCCGCTGGGACAGAAGATCGGCTTGGGTATCATGCTCGGTATTGCTACCATGTAAGCTCGCATCAACACAACAACTTCAGTTACTAACAGCAGCAGAACTGTCACGACATCCATCATTCGCATGATTTATCTACCCTCCCTCTTGGGAGCATTAGACATTCCATGGATCGCAGCCCCAGCAAACGTCTGGTCCTTCGTGGAAGTCAACCTCTTCATAATTTGCGGCTGTATGCCGACATTTCGCAAATTCTTCAAACGCTTTGCACCGAAATGGATGGGCTCGTCAAGCGACTCAGGAAGTTCAGAGCCACCTTCAAATGATTCGCTACATAAAGTACAGAGGAAGAAGCATACAGGGTACACTCAGTTCGATACATGCGGTTCTTTGGAGCTCGCGACATACCCCGACACCGTGAGCCGAACGACGCAAATTACGACAGGGAGTATTTGCAGTGGCGTCATGGGAAGCACGCTGGATAATACAAGCGAGGAAGCGATATTACAGCCAACAAAGATTGTGTGCACAAAGACATACAATGTGTCACATAGCGAATAAGAATAAATAGCAATGAATCCGATATCGTTATCTTAACAAGATTTTCACAAGCAAGCACTGCACAAGACATGCAGTGCTCCGACTTCGCAACGTTGCGGTGGTGTTGGTCGTGTTGCACAAACTCCCCAAAAAGCAAGCAAACACGTCGATCACTAACCGATCCCGATCGGCTACGTCAACGCGACTGTCAAAGCAAGGGCGCAATCTTAGCTTATATCCGTCCAAAAGCCAACCCTTCATGCTCAATCCTTCCGACTAACCGCAATTGTTTACTCTAATCTTGACTACTGACTGTCGAACAATTGACTGTGAAGATGTCGACTTCCTCGGAGACTGCGTATGCTATGGAGTCGTTGCAGGAACAGCAGTGCGGGTCTGATAGTCCGCCTGATACTGAACGCCAGGAAAATGGTTCTCAGTCACCGACGGATTCACTCCCGCCTACAGACCGTGGAAAAGATGCGTATCTGGCTTTGATGTGCTGTACGATGGCACAGCTTCCAATCTGGGGTATTCAACCTCCTCACCCATTACACTTCAACACTAACAAATCACAGGCTACTCCGTCTCATTCGGCATCTTCCAAGAATACTACAGCCGTCCAGGAAGTCCCATCAGCACAGCATCATCCGGAACAATCGCCACCATCGGAGCACTGCAACAGGGTGTTATGTATCTCATGATGCCGTTTGCCTTCCTCATCCTCACGCGGTATCCGCGCCTGCGACACCTTTGCGGGCCGCTTGGTCTTGCAGTGACGGTCGCTAGTCTCACTGCGTCTGCATTTGTGAACACTATCGCGGGGCTTATCGCTACACAGGGGGCACTGTACTCTATTGGCTGTGGATTGTTGTTTTGTCCGATTTCGCATTATATGAATGAGTGGTTTGTTGAGAGGAAGGGGATGGCGTTGGGGGTTATGTGGGCTGGCAAATCAGGGACAGGTATGACTTCAAAGTAGTAGCCTTATGGTCGTACACTAACTGGGTGAAGGTATTGCGATGCCGTTTGTCTTTGATGCTCTGCTACGCCGGATCGGTCTCAAGGCGACTCTCTTGGCCTGGGCGGGTGCATCAGCTGCCATGACACTCCCAACTCTCGTTTTCATCAAACCACGGACCCCGCTGCACAATCAGGTCCAGGTTCAACCGTTATCGTTCCGCTTCCTCCGCCATACATCTTTTTGGATGATGCAAGCTGGTGTAATCATTCAATCACTGGGTTATCTCATGCCGAGCACATACCTAGCCAGCTACGCATCAACGATCGGTCTACCCAGCATCACCGGACCCATCTTGCTTGCTTTGTTCTCTGTCGCATCCGTCCCCGGAGGTATCGTGCACGGCATGCTCGGAGACAAATTCTCAGCAACAAAAGCCGTAACTATCGCATCAATTGGAAGTGCGCTGCCAATCTGGCTTCTGTGGGGTTTGTCTCTCGACCTCGCAAACTTGGTAGTGTTTGTCATTGTCTACGGCTTCTTCGCCGGCGGTTTCAGCTCAACATGGTCTAACATGTCAACCGACATCCAAAAAGACGACTCCGCCGCTGATTCAGCTCTCATTTTCGGCATGCTCATGGGCGGACGAGGTATCGGCTTTGTCACCGCCGGGCCACTCAGCGGCGCCTTGCTACAGGCAAAAGCACATCTGTCCAACGAAGCACTCGGTTACGCGACGCAATATGGACCCATGATTATATGTACTGGTGTCACTGCTGTGTTTGGTGCTTGGGCGCCTATGTGGAAGGGCATTCGAACTGCTCTAGGAACATGCACAGGTCGCTGAGGTTTCACGGGCAATGTTTCATGCACGTTTGGAATGATGAGCTTGTGCGGGGCGATGAAGATAACTGGGTCAACTGCGTACCTCGGTCAATAGCAGATCAAATCACACTGATCAATAACGAGGTTCATCTTAATGAGGGGAAAACGTGGGCTTAGTCCGGACTTAGGCTCGGCTTTAGTGTAATCTTCATACCTTGATGTCATAAGCAATTCGGTAGATGGAACGGCAAAGAAGCAGTCATTATAAGCTATAAGCACTTAATAAGAACCCCGGTGACACCCAAGCGCAATAGGCAACAGTACAGAATGCGTGTGTGTGCCAAACTCCATTATCTCCTTTGCAGTAGGCGTCATTGAAGCTCGGAAGTGACTGTTCGCCGGCCTTTGCCCCGCTATCTTGAATTATTAATACTAACGCCCCAATTACAGACGTTGGCCTGTTGATAGTTCCAACCATTGAGTCCTCTGATTGGCTTGACAATGAGAACTGCTACGCTAAACTGTCGTCAGTTGTTTGCGTGGAGCCATCATCGTTGTATCAACCACTTCAATACCCCTCATTTCGCTTGGACCATCCCGAATGACATCAATTCCATTTATATAAGAAAACCGCCCCTCCTCTCACCGTCAAACCCCCATCTCCATCACTTCCACTCAACTCCAATCGCCAAAATGCCTGTTGAAACCGCCTACGACCCCAAGGACATGCTGTTCCGCCACCTGGGACCTACTGGTCTCAAGGTCAGTGTCTTCAGTCTCGGTGGCTGGTTGACATACGGCGGTACGCAAAAGGGCGATATCGTGAAGCAGATTCTTCAAAAGGCTTGGGATCACGGTGTCAACACTTTCGATACCGCTGAGGTTTACGCCAATGGTGAATCTGAGGTTGAGATGGGTCGTGCCCTCAAGGAGCTCGGCTGGCCTCGTGATGAGTAAATACGCCAAGCCCCCAAACCTCGATTTATACTGACTTGTCTAGGTACGTCCTCACCACAAAAATCTTCTTCGGTACTGGCCGCAAGGAGCCCAACACTCGAGGTCTCAGCCGCAAGCACGTCGTCGAGGGTCTCAAGAGCTCTCTAAAGCGTCTTGAGCAGCCTTACGTCGATGTTGTCTTTGCTCACCGTCCCGACTACGCTACTCCCATGAAGGAGATTGTTGAGGGATTTACTCAGGTCATTCGCAACTTGAACCTTGCTTACTACTGGGGTACTTCTGAGTGGACCGCTGCTCAGATTACCGAGGCTACTCACATTGCTGAGCGCTACAATCTCATTGCTCCTGGTAAGTCTCTAGATTGCTGAGATCGTGTGAGATACTAATGATGGTACAGTTGTTGAGCAGCCTCAGTACAACGCTTTCCACCGTGAGCGCTTCGAGGTCGAGTACGCTCCCCTCTTCAACCAATTCGAGTACGGCACCACAATCTGGTCCCCTCTCGCTTCCGGTCTCTTGACCGGCAAGTACAACAACGGAATTCCCGAGGACTCACGATTCGCCACCAACAAGGCCTTCTTCGAGAACACCGTCAACGAGCTTCAAACCGAAGCCGGCAAGGCCAAGATCGAAAAGGTCAAGAAGCTCTCCGAAGTCGCTGAGCGTCTCGGCGGAAACGTCGCTCAGCTGTCTCTTGCCTGGGCCCTCAAGAACCCCAACGTCAGCACTGTCATTCTCGGTGCGACAAAGGTTGAGCAGCTTGAGGACAACTTCAAGGCGCTTGAGATTTACAAGAAGATCGATGATAAGGTCTTGGAGGAGATTGAGAAGATTCTTGATAACAAGCCCAAGCCTGCTCCTACCTTCAACCGTGAGAGGTAAATGAAAGTTTTGGTATGGTCTAGATATGAATAATAGATCAATAATGACTGAATATGAGATTTGAGATTCGCGTGATGAGTGGTTTGATTGATGAGACTGCTTATCTTAGGGGCCATAATAACTCTTATCGGGTGCTACTGATTGGACAGGGTCAGCTTCACGTCATGCATTACGCGTGGGGTTATCGCGTACCCTGACCTTGACCGACCATATCGCGAAAATGTTCGAACGACTACCCCATGAGCTTTTGAAGTTCATCATCAGTGAGGTAAGATGAACTCACTGTTCTTATCTTACAGAGTCTCATGATGCACCCTTGTAGATATCTATTAAAGACGTCAAGAATCTGTCGGAGACGTCAAAACACTTCCATTCTTCAACTCTGCCGACCGTCTGGGCATCTGTCGTTATCCCAGCATGGAGTAAGAACGACGTTTACGGAATAAATATCGAAGGCTTCCCTCTTGGAAGACTGGTCTTTACGAAATCTATCAGTCTACGGTTTGTAACTGAGAACAATGCACGAGCTTGTCCGCATGAACGAAGACTACAAACCTGTCAAGAAGCAAATGATGAGGACATTGTCGACAAACCAGGTTCCTTTGAGAAGTTCAAGGAAGTCATTCTCTCGCTTCTCGAAAAATGTGAGAAGGAACAGTTGACATCGTTTAGGTTTGTCACTTACCTGCTGCAATCTTACGAAGAATGACTAACGGAACATACCCAAGCTGGGATCTAGGAACGTGTATACCGACTCCCATCCTGGGAAGCAATGGCATTGTCGCCCGTCAGCAGTCTTCACTTAGTACTTTGAATCTCACGACCTATCCCTTTTGCAAACGCTATAACTCCCGCGAACGAAGGATTGACCTATCCGCTTTCTGTCATCTCCTAAACCTCAGTTGGAGAGGGCCAAGCTCAGAGAACCTCAGAGTATTTGCAACGGCACTCAAAAACAACAAGTCGCACCTCGAAACTTTGGAGCTCGACCTAGTGGACTGGCCGCACCTGCGCAAGGAATTGGGTTATCGGAATGATAACGAGAGAGTGCGCAGATTGAGAGCAAGGGAGTACATGAACAAATCAATTCTTGGCCTTGACATACACTCTCCACTCATTGCCTTTCCCAACCTATACACTCTAGTCCTCAGTCATGTACCTCTGAGCGCGACGCTTGTACAATCCATCAACTTTGAGGTTCTCAGATCGCTCACAATCCGATCCTGTCCACAATGGTACGATTTCGTGTTGACCATAGCACAGCGAAGAATCCCAGTAAGGTTAAAGAAGCTCGAGCTCCAGGAGTCTTGGCCCAAGAATGACACAGCAACCGACGAGACTGAGGACGGGGATTCAAGCGAGGTTCTACTAGAATATTTCGAAGGGCTGGAAGAGCTTTATCTTGACCAGACCGGCGATATGCTCTCAAAGTATACGTGGGAGAGTGTTTGCCATCACAGCTCTACGTTGAAGAGGTTTGGCAATCATTCAAATTTCTATGCTGAAGAGTTGGAAGTGTGAACGGATTTGCCGGATATGATGATCAATGAGCGTGATAAAGAAAGGTGGTGGAATGGTCCGACTTCGTCTCCTCTTTATAAGCTGGATCTCGACTTTATTGGACTGTCTTGTGAACCGATTCATCTGGTAAGCATTCAGGCGTTATTATCTTCATATACTGACTGTACTTTTAGCTGGATGTGTTAAATCCATTTTCTAGGAAGGATTGTCTTAAAGTGGTTCATGTTCGTCAATCGCGTAGGAACATAGAGTACACGTGGTCATGGGGGATTATGGTGATAATCGACGATGAACCAGTTGATGATACTCCAGCGGTGGACGAAGGGGAGAATCCTAGTAATGAGTATCTGGAACCCATGTTCTGGGCTTTTGTTGAGTGGACTTTTTCTTACAAGGGCATCAAGTCCCTGGAGTACATCGTCTTTGGAGACTTCGGTCGCCCAGAGAGAACGAGTAGAGGAAATCTGCTCATATGTCGGGAAGGTTATGGATCTGAAGAATTTCACATCATCAGGGAGTCATGCCCAGCTGCCGAGTGGGATCATGTCAAGAAGGAGTACGGCGATGCTTTGAGGTCATGTCCCTCTGACCCATTGTTCGAGGTGCCAAAGAGCCCTGTACATTAAACACCAATATCTCGATCTAAAGCAAATGCAACAAGATCCCCGTAGCAACATTCGAAATATTACCAACCACATCCCAGAAATTCGTGTTACTTGTGTTCCTCGTCTGCTCCAACTCCCTGATCCTCGCCTCCATCCTCCTCTTCTCCATCCCTTGCGCCGCAACCTGCGCGTTACTCGCATCCCTAATCTGCCTATTCAACCTCTCAACCTCTCCCCTCCACCTCCCCGCCTCATCCAGGGTCAGCAGTTTG